AAAGGAGAAAAACAAATGCTGTCGCTTTAAATCGGAACTGAGCATGCCTGGCTGTGGAATTCTGGGAGTTGAAGTACACAAGTCTAAAAAAATTTTAAACCCTTGTGTCAGTGCTTCACCAGCCATAAACCTCACCGCACGTCACTGCTCTGGTATTTCTTAGAGACATTCTAGCTGAGAAACAATTATGTAAAATGAATTGTATGTGATTTTGCTTAGCTTCTAAGCCTAGGTAAGAATGATCATATGCTGAGATATGCTGCAGGTAGGAGGAGACAATATGGCAACCTCTTCCCCTCCCCCAAAAGTGCTTTGTGCTCAAAAAAATAAAAGCCCTGTACAATATGGCTACTAACCAAAGTAATTAATATCATGATCCATTGCTGGAGGCTCCCAATCAGATATTCTCCAAACGTGTGACTGCAGGACCCAGAATTTCCAACCAGCATCTCCCCTACATTTGTGGTACACTGGGTTTGGAAATTCTCCAGGAGAAACAGCCAAAAAGAAGGCAAATTTGAGCACTTCCTATTGAGTGATGTTGACTCTGGAAACAATCCTGAGATTAATGGGCTGTAGTTTTCTTTATATCTTGTGAAGAAAATGACTGCTATTAATGGATAAGTTATCAGGATAAAATGTACTGTACGTGTAATTGGTGCAACCAGAAAAATGAAGTTAAAGATCTAGGCAATTCTTTGACTGACACAGACTTAAATCAAGGACATTAATCTCAAAGTTATGTAGTCAACATTGTACATTAAGTGAAATTTTGTGTGCAATTTAAATAAAATTTAGGGTTACACTTGACCTTAGAGGAGTGTGTCTTGTGTCATTTTCCGAAAAAATACACAAGGACACAAATTGCAATTTATTTTATTTATGTGCAGGCCATGAGGATGAAGAGTACATAGCTCATGGCCTTAGTGTGTGCAAATCCAGATTAGATAATACAAAGCTAATGAACACAGCATTCGTCAGCCCTTCTGATGATAGTAGGAAGTTTAGCTCCTGAAGTACATATAGAACAGCCAAGTCAAGTTTACAGTAAAGAATATTTATGGAGTTTTCTAACTATATTGAAGTCACTCTTGTCAAAATCATAACGATGGTCCCCAACTTACAACTGGTTTGCTGGCCAGCTCCTCATTTAAGATTATTATTCCTCTCTATTTTGGAAGGAGAAACTATGTTCATAGACATTAGGCTACGCAAAGCAAGTTTTGTCTTTATGCATATGACAGAAAACCCTATTTGATGAAGAACTAAAAGAGCAAATGTACAGCTTACCTAAACGATGACAAGTGAGATTCATGTTAACCAAGCAGATTTCTTCCTCTCTCCCTGTCCTATTGCTCATATCTGAAAGGTGTAAACACCAAGCAGGCAGAAAAAAAATTAAGTACATGACTAATACAACTGATTTAAATAAACATGGAAGATGGATGGTTTAAATATGGAAAATTCCTGAATCTAAGGAACACTGCATTATTATCTTAATGCAGGATCCAACATCAGAGATTGTTTTTAAAACCAATTATACAAAATTGTGAAATAAATAAACATATTAACAAAGATATATTAATACAGAACTGCACATAAAAATCCAAGTTTAATTCATTTGTAATCAATCTTTCTGTAAAATTTTCTAGTAACCACAATCCTGTTTTATCAAATAATAAAATTGAATAAAAACAAACATGTGAATTCCTCTAAATAATAGATGATAGACCATCTGATTCTAGCTCCCAAAACACAGAAGAATAAATTTAGGGCTAATCTGAACCAGTAACACTGAAAAAATTGGAGTATATTGTCAACTACCTTAAAAGGATATAAGCTTCCATAAAAATCTACAATATAACATAGGTTTACTGCAATTTTGGAACATAAAATTGTGGTAGAGGGTTGCAGATAACCTATACATTATAATTTATACAATTTTGATCAATTAACCAAGTCAATATCAAATAATAGAAAATAAGTACCATAATTTTTAGATAGATGATTATTTAAATGACTATGGAAATATGATTTATATTTCAGTTTTTTTAAAAAGTTCTTATTGCTGTTGAGAATACTCTTATCACATGCCTGAAATTGTTTTTTCGTGACTTGGAAACCTTCCTTAAATGACATATAATTCAGGCTTCAGTAGTGGGAAGAAAATTATTCAAAAACATACAAATATGTGCTGATTTTAAGCAATTCTTTTATCAACCTCCAACTGGGGATACCGCAATAATCCCCAGAATCTAATCTTATCTCTTAAAAATAAGCTTTACTCCTGTAGCAGTTGTACTGGATTGAAAAAATATTTTCCATCATAAATGTCTTTTTATTAATTTATTTTCAGATCTCATATAATTTTTTAAATATAATTAAATTTTGAAGTAAACACTTGTTACACACAAAATTAAACTATGATTTGAACATATAAAACTAGTATTTTACTGAAAGATTATATCATAATTATAGTTCTTTTCATTTGAAGAAAGTTCCAATGGATTTATGGAAGTTTGCATATAGAATAATATATCTATATTTACTTATATTTACTGGCAGTGCAACATCATTGTACTCCTTTTCCCATATGTAATTTAGAAATATAAAATGTCAACTTCTTTGCTTTCATTTGTGATGCTAGCTTTGGCTCTTTTGCTACTGGTTTTGTATTGTATAATTTAATATTTATTTATTTTGTAATATATAGGCTAGTTCTGTGTAATTCTGTTGTCATTTGGTTAGAACCTGGTGAGGCTATGCAAATTTTTAAAAAGTTTTTTCCAGTAGTCTCCACATATGTTTACATGCACAGCCACTTTCCTTTACTGGAAAAATATGAACCAAGTGACTGAATGTACACAGGCATTCAAATACAATTGGTAACAGTTCACAAAGCAGCTGTGCAACTGTGGAACAAGAAATGGCTGCTTTAACAGTTTCAAAAAAGGAGCTTCCTATGTCTATTTAAGCACTTGTACAGCTTTACAACAACAGCATCTTAACATGCAAGGATTGAAGGATCCTAACCTGAATCCTTAGACAAACACCAAAGCATGCAAAAGGAAGAATGAGAGACAACATTTAATATAGCTACATAACATATACTGAGACTCATCAAAAAACATTAACAAGTGAGAAAAGATGAAATGATCCATAGAAAAATTGCAAGAAAGTATTACAAATATTACAATGTGAAAATACTACAAAATACCATCTCTCTCTCTCTCTCTCTCTCTCTCTCTCTCTCTCACACACACACACACACACACACACACACACTCTCTCTCTCTCTCTCTCTGAAACAAGGATACCCAATCCCTGTTCGGTGCACCAGCACTAGTTCATGGCATGCCAGCACCTGGGCCGCACAAACAACCGAAGCCCCAACAATAGGATGCAGGTAGCATTGAAATCATGCCCCTCTAGCCCACGGAAAACCTTTCTCCAAGGAACTGGTCCCTGGTGCCCAAAAGATTTGGGATCACTGCTCTAAAAACAAAATGTATAACTACATCAAAACACTCCAAAGAATTTTTCACATCATAAAAAAATGATGGACAATTATAGTATGTTGTGTTGTTGCTTCATCCACACTCTGTATTGATCCTGTAGGTTCCCAAAGAAAAGACAAGCAATTCTCCAATGATTGGAAGCTGTACTTGATAGCTTCAAGACTGAGAAGTTCAATTGGTAAAGCCATAGAACAAAATAAATATGAACATGCCTCCCCCCCCCACATTTTTTGAATAAATTAAGAGTTCTCCCCTTTTTTCCTCTGCTCTAAATTTAATTGAATGTGTTTACAGCAGAAATTTTACATTTGGTGATGCAATTGAATGGCCCTAATACAGCCATAATTTATTTTCTTTGCTAGTAAACCATGATTGATTTTCCTGTTGTTTCAAAACCATATTTTTCATCTCTTTGATCTCACTCCATCAACTATAGACAGATGAATCACCATCAAAATTCTCAAAATTTCAAATTCATCTGCAATGCTACAACACCACCATTAAAATTCATCATTAAATTTGCATCAACAGCTGTATCAACAAATGTTAGCAAAAATATATTATATTTTAAAGCTTTTATAAAAATTTTAAAAGACAACTTATTCATATCTTTCTAAAAACACGGGACATTAATTCACATAAACCCAGTGCATGTGTTAGATAGGTTCAATTTACTATTTTCTCATTATAATAGTAAAATGTCTATATTATAAGCATTATTTTTAAAATAGCTCTGCAACTGTCTGCTTTGTATACTATTATATCATGTGGTTGATAAATGCAACCAGCAACATAGGTGTGAATTTCCTCTGACATAGACAACAGCAAATTTAATTAATTTTGTATTTTGATAATAATTTTTTGTTCCACGTGGGATTCTCACTAAATAATCCATTATTATTAAATCCCACTCTTGCAAATTATGCACCCCTGCTGAAACCACTTTTTACCTTCTAATGCTGCACTATCAACTCCTGAAATGACAAAAGGTTAAATTATGACCTGAAGATTATTATCTTCCAAATATTTTAAAATGTCAGATGAATACATTAAAATTAAACACTGTATTAGTAATTTCCTTACCTCTAGTTGCTAATATCACTATTCAGGAACACAGCAATACTGACATAAGACCACAGTGAAACTTTTGTACTACTTTTATATTTTTATCACAAATGCTGAATGCATTTTGGTGCAACACTTCACTAAAAATTCAGGCTAGCATTAAATACAAGTAGATTGTCTTCCTTAAGGCAGTTATACCATATATGTAAATACTGTTTAAGGGCAGGAAATACCCAGTATCTGGTAGAACAGATGTAATCTATATGTTTGCATCTGATTTGAAGTTTCACTCATATTTCTTAAGACTTGACTGCTTTAGACAAAGAGTCACGCATCACATAAACATTAGTGGTGTTATTTTATTTGGCCCAGCAACACTTACATGTTCTGAACTTTAAAATTATGAACTAAAATGTAAACCCAGTACATTGTGGCTTATTTACTTAACCAAAGTTGAACCACCCATGGATTAGTGCCATATGTGTACCAACTTAATCATGTGAATTGCCAAATCCTGAGCTTTGTGGATTATAGTGTGTATCATCAATACATGCTAAGTGATTCTTTGACGTCTGACTAGCATTGAGTGAGCAAGAGAAAACTACCTTCTCACCACCACCCCATACTTAGCTATTTTTCTCTCACAACCCTGTCACCTGTTAGCCAAGTAGCTTGACAGATGGCTACACTTTTGTTGTAAGTCTATGTCTGGAAAGGTGTTTGGTGGCTATTTCATTGATAAAAAGTGAAGGTTGTTCAGAGGGGAATCCATCATGCCCTTTCCTTAACTTGTCCCACAGTAGGGGGAAAAAACACAGCACTATTCCCTGTTCATATAGGAATAATGTATGGCAGGAAATTATGGTCACAAATGCTCCGCAGGAATACTTTTCTTCCAGCCTAAGGAATGGTGGGTACCAATTTAATTTACCCATGAGAAAGGAGCTCCAGATTAAGCTGAACTGATCTTTCTGCACACTGGCCTTTTTGGTTTTGGTTTTGTTTGTTTTAAGCTGTAATAAGGCACTAGAAATTATTATTTTTATCCCAGAGACAAATAATGTCACATCATTTTAATTAGGTTGTTTTCATCTACTGTTCATGATGATTTATAGATTGAATTTATTTTGTTTTGTGTTTATGTTTCAGATTCAAAGAAAGCGATTCAACATTAGTTATTTTTCTGTGAGTGGGCTTTCTCTCCCCCACCCCACCCCCCACCCCTTTTTGTGCCTAGAATACTGCCATGTTAAAAAACACATTTCTTCGGAATTGTCTTTTTATATGCTCATTAAAATATTTTTTTCCCTTTTAACAATCTATTTTGCAGCATTGAAAAACCATAGGCTGATGACGCCTCTCTGCGCATGTTTAATCGACCACTATGGTTGTCATGCCAACTAGTCAAGAGAATTCTAAGCCTACACTTGGTATTTCAATGCAGTGACCCAATTACTGTCTGTCAACAAATTCACCAGGACAATGAAGTGTAATACATTACTGAGATTACAGCCCAGAGACAGAAACATAAAATGGAACTGAAATATTAGTCCCTTTCATAAGGCAAAAAAATATAAATAGAGTTTACGGTAATGTTTTATAATCCTTCAACTATACTACATGCTTTTAAACAAGTATTTAAAAAATTAAAAATATATCCAATCATGATCTTAGCCTATAGACCCTTTGTGCTCTTTTTCATGTAAATGTTGCTATATACCTTAGGCCAGTTGTGTTGTGAGTGCTCCAAACTTGAAAACAGGAAATATGTAATAAACA